TTCATGTCTATGTATCTCCAAGGCTTTGGAACTTGGAAACTTATGTTTCTGAAGCCTGCTGCTCTCCACATTTCCTCCTTCCTCCCTAATTCACCTCTTTACCAGATGAAATAGTAACGAATTGGTCAGGGTACAGTAACCTCAGATTCCTTGTTGGACTGGCCATTTTTAACATGTCACAGCAGAGCAGCAGGACACATTTCCTGCCTTACACTCAATGGCACTACATGCCACAAGGAATAAGTAGCATGATGAAAGCAATCTTTCCACATCTCCTATCTGAGCAGTGATTCTTGCCAATTCTTGGAGCACACATGTGGCTGCTGACACATGGGATTTATGTGAGTTCCATATTTGAAATCTTATTTATTCCTTCATTTTTGATGGAGAAAAAGTCTTATGGCATCTTGATGTTTCTAATTCACACCATAGCTTCTCTTCACGCCAATTAGATTTCTTCCCATTATTCTTCTTCCTAGTCTCACATTTTTCTATTTTTGACACTTCCTAAAGTAAGGATGACTTCCTGAAGCAGAAGCATGACCAGCAAAGCAATGCTGCTCATCATTCTCTTTCACCAGTTCATACTATACATTACAAATTTTTTTTCCTTTCTCTTTTATTATATCAAACTAAAATTTTTCGCACGGTAGATGCTCCACTCCACAGGTCTGACTACAACCAGTTATTTAAAATACAGCTTGGAATTCTTAGCTTGAACTTAAAGCAGTAAGTATTTCTTTAATAAAAGCAACAAACAAACAAGCAAACAAATAAATAAATAAAATTACATAGATTTCCCCTTCTTAAACTACAAGGCATAGTAGTATTGATTTATGCAGCAAGTTTTTAAACTATTAATTCTTAATCTCTTCCGGTAGTTAAAGAAGAGATATTTTACTTCATCAGTGTTCAGCACACAAAACCTAAATCTAAACCTAGGGTCAGCCCCTGAAGAAGAAATTAATAAACAAGTACAAACAAAACAAGAGGGAAGAAAGCAGTAGTTAATTTTATTATTGAAATTGGCCTCCTTTGTGGTGTGAAAGAGAATAACCTACATTTGTAAGGTTGGTAAACAAAATAAGAAAAAATTTCACCTCTGGTAAAGGCACATTAGGTGCCAGACTCCTTGAAAGACTTGATAAGATTTAGGCATGTGTTTTTCTTAAGTCTCTCAAAGTCTCCCTCAGAACTTGGTTAACAAACTACTCTGCCTCATCTCCCAGCAGTACTAAAAACTTTTTCCTCTGTGTTCCCATCAAAAAATAAATTCAAGATAAATTAGAGGGTGTACCAGGACCCAAACCTGAATTCTGGGAAAAAAATCATAAAATTACATTTTATGTTACTCTGCTTTCTTTCTAAGCAAATTACATGCACTTCAAGAGATCATTGCTTTTAGGCAGCAAGACCATGCCCTCTAAAATGTTCAGTTCTCACATGTGTCAATTTCTAATATTCTGAAAAGGAGAAATATAGAAATCACATTTTAGATGAGATCTGTTAAGTACATGTAGAATTTTAATTGATAAAACAACTGTTTATTTCTCAGTTATAAACAGCATACTATAAGGAGGCAAATAAATATCCCTGTGATTCAAAGTTTGGTGACTTATTTTTATTTCCATATGAATTAATCTTCATTTCTGTGCTGGGTTAAATGCATGTGAGCTTGTTATAATTTCTGCTAATACAGCTCAACTGGCAAACTAAAACACCTTTGCAAGTAATTCCCTACTTAACTAATTGTAGTTGCTATAAAAGTCAGGGAATCTAAGGCTTTACCAGCTATATCGTTTCATTAAGATGTTTGTAATGGCAAGTCATTAGCTAAAACCATTGCATACACACTTAAAACAGTATTAAGACTCCACACTCATTCTTCTTTTCCTCTTTTAGCTATTAAGTTCACTACTCTCTTTAGTTCTTCTACTTTCATTACCATTTGCTTTTTGTATTAATAGTACTTGAGTTTAGCATTGCTCTGAAGGTCTGCTTCTCCTAAGACAGTGTTGGTAGATACCTGTAATTTTGAGGATGCAATGCACAATCAGGATAAAGAATCATGCAAGGGGTCAAAGCAAGTAAGCCCAAAGAAACAGAATGCAAGCTGATCAAAATCTGGGACACTGTTGGTGGGTTAGTCATACAATGCTATTACAATTAACTAGAATAAAACACATGTGAAATTTCAGGTTCAAAAATGGTGCAAAGGGACACTATACTGTGAGCTCTGCTACTGGAATTCAGAAAACTTCACTGTATCCTCCTCTCAGAGCACAAAGCACATGACAGGGTATAAAGCAGGAGATGCACTTATGTGTCACATCAGGGAAAGATTTTTTTTTAACTAATCATAGCACTTTAAACAATATTTAGACACAGAATCCAATCCCAGAGGAAAAATCCCAGAGAAGCAATGCTGAGATGTAAAGGTGGAAAGAGAACTTTAATAATGTTCTGTGTGCATAGTAAGAGTGTCAAGCATTGCACTTCCACACCAAGACAAACATGGATTCCTCTGGATTTTTAAAAAATGGACTGCAAACTTATACCTACATAAAAGAATGATAATTTTTTTAATAACTTACACTTTAAAAAGTTGCTGAAGTCTCAAACTTATTGCAGTGAGTGAAAAAATAACTGCTGTGCATAGGGTTTGCTTTCTAACATTGGAAGTCTCTGTCCTAGTTACAGCTATCATTTGTGTAAAACCCAGGAAACAGCAGCTCACTGACTTTCTGAGTTTAAATCCACAGAAGACTTCACAGGAGTTACAGCAGCCTAGCTTGTGGTACCTTCAGTGACACTGGCTAGCGCTATAGGAAACTATTTAAAAACAATCAAACAAACAATCAGGAAACAAAACTTCCAAGTATTACAGAGGTTTGCTTTCTTATTGGACCAATGTGAACATGCAGACCACTCCTGGCCCAGTATAAACATTTTTTTGTCAGATGAAGTTTTATTTATATGTCTCCTCTAACGAGTGTTTCCTTTATACAGATAAGACTGCAACATGCACACGTATGGATGTTTGCATATGCTCAGTGGAATGTGTCTCAGCCATGGAAATCCCATCAAACTGTAAAGGTTTATGAATGAAATCCAAAGGCTACACAGAATACCTTCAATGATGAGCTATTTTATAAACTGGGAAATAACAACAAGACTTTAAAACTCCTGTAATCTGTAGCCAAAGACACACTAATGTAAAACAGATTGCTTTTTGAATTGTACACTTGACAAAACTACTCTAAAACTTTCTCTTGATGGATCTATTCACAAACTGTACTTAAAGTGTTACAGCACCTGCCAGTATGCAATTATGCAGCTATTACACTTCGAACAAACAACCTACCCCCCCCATCCCTCCAAACTAACAGCAACAAAATGCCAACACCATACCAGAGGTACCAGAGTATTGCCATACTTTGCCCTCACAACCTGTCTAATACCATAAAACCGCAAAATATGAGCAAAATGTGACAGTTTAGCTTCTGTGGATACACTCAGGTTATCCAGACCCAGCTTCTGCCAACATATTTGAGTCAGTATTGTGTAAATTCGAGCATTGTCCCATCACTCTGATCTGTTTTAGAAATACAAAATTACTAAACCAGGACTCTGCTACAACCGTCTTTAGGGTTGTAAAGTTACATAATGAGGAATAGAGACACTTGATGTAACTAAATACTAGCTGAAATAAATGGCAAGCTGCTTTGTTTAAACAGGTCAAATCCCATGGTCAGCATTCAGGAAAAAAATCAGAGTGAAGTTAATGGGATTCCTCCCTAGACAATTGTAGCAAAATGGCCCCATGATAATGAAAATAAATTAATTCTGTAATTTCAAAGATTTGAAGCAGATTAGAACAACCAGGACATGGTTTTGTACTTCCATCTTAATACATGTGTGACTGCATTATATTGAGAGGATAACTGTTTCTTCAAAGTTATGGGAAAACATGACAACATTGCCTGTTTCATTCTCTAGTCAAGTTACTTCATTCTACATTGTTTACTGGATCACAATGATCATATCCTTCTTTTGACCTCAAACCTTGAAAAAATACCACAGACTGCTAAAATACTTACAGTAAAAGCATCCATCTAATCTTTCTACTCAAGCAAAACAGTATGCTCTATCAGGAATGAAAAACTGGTTTCACTGAGGCTCACTTGACATAGGAATGAACCCACTGAGTATGTAAGGTAAAGACAAAGGGTGTTAAAATAGGAGTGAAATGTTGCAAGGAGCGTTTCCCCTTAATGAATTACTGGGAGATTTGTAGCAGGCCAGCCAGGGTAAGTCTTTCAGCATGTGTATCCAGAAGTGTCATGGACTTGCTGCACTATATCGTTGCTGCCCTTTCCATGAACTGGGCAGTTTCCTTTCACCAGTTTATTTTCACTTCTATTCTGGCAGCTGTCTACAGCAGTAGGCATTTATCTTAAATAATTTGCTACTTGTTGAAGAATTCACGGAGGGTGGGGGGAGAGGGAAATAGCCATTCTTGGTGCACCATATCATAACTGATTAAAAAAAAATCAATAAAGATTAAACAGATTTCCCAAAGATTTTCCCCCTCACTTCAGAGGAAATCTTACACATAAATGTACATTCCCCCTCCCCTAAACAAAACACTACTAGAACTTGCTGAATTTATCTTTCCAATTATTCAAAGTAGCAAAATTTGTGGAAGCTGTGCTTTCACTTAATTAATTCAAAGTATTTTCCTTACCAATTTTAAAAAAAAAAAAAGCTCAGTGATAACTGCAGTAAAGATTAAACTTGGTAATAAAAAAAAATGAGTGTTTTCATATTATTAACTTTTTCAATAACGGGGCAGATCCTTTGATGCAAACTACCTCTTCCTATGTTTGGCAACTAACCTCAAGAGTAAAGTTTCTGGAACAAAATGATTGGGTAGTGGAAATTCAAAAGGCAAAAGCATCATTTAATGGGGAATGTTACTAAAATGTACTTTACATTACCTTAATCTGTGTCATGAACAAAATTATCATTTTCCCAGTTAGCAGAGTACTGTGGAAGAAAGAAAAAATGTCATTGTTAAGTGCCATTGGTAATAAAATAAAGAGAAAACTAAACATTTTCATTCTCCTTATTGAATACAGTTATGGGAGACTGGAAAAGTACAATGCAATGTAGACCTTACAAAGTATTTGGTAATTTTTATTAAATGGGAGCAAAAGCAAAATGGGAAAGAGTGAAAGTCAAATTATATTCTTATGTCGCACATATGAAACCCAAGGGAGCAACCAGTATTTCAGTCGCTGGTTGTTACCAATGATTTGATGAAAGACCGGTAGCTGTAAAACTTTAATGCTTTTCTAGGCTTTACACAAATTCTGTGAAGTCAGAAGTTCACTGCAGCAGGTGAAAAACCAGGCAAGCATCCCTGGCCCTCATTTTCTCTCATCTGAATGCAACAGTTTACACTGCAAGTTTGCATACTATAGCCCCACAATAAAGCAAGCAGAACTGTAATTTGTTATTTAGAGTAACCTATCATTTCAGACAAGCTAACACTAAAACAAAACATTTTTCAGACACAGAGACAAAAAAAAATTCATTTGCATAACACATTCATCATATTTATATTTCCACTCCAGAAATATATTTCCTTATAAATTTATATTTCCTTATCCCAGAAAAGTTTCAAAGGCAGAAAAACAACAGACAATGTTGAAAACCAAAATATTTTCTTTTCACCATAAAGTCTGAGTAATAACTAAATGGCATTCTTCAAATGGAGATTAACAATGTTGAACCAGATGTTCTCCATTTCACAAGTGTCTATGCCTCAAAATTACCCAAGACAGATATTCCTTGGAAAATCCTATATCCAGAGTTCAAATTCAAGCTTAAACAAAACAAAATCAAGTGGAACCAACACTCCCTCCCTTCTGCAGTGTGTGACACTTCCCCACTCCGCATGTATCAGTGTAAACTGATAGACAAACGAGTTTAAAAAGTCATGTGTGCATGTGATTATATAAAGTCAGTTAGAGAGGCGTTTTAATCAGAACCTCGACTGTAATGCCCTGATTCATCTAACATCTCAGAAAAAAATCAGCTTCAGCTATGAGAGTCAGTCTCCTCAAAGTTGTTCAACACTGAAAGAACAGCTTTGACTCCAGTTAAAATCAAAACCAGACAGATTTTCTTCAGTTCTAGTCTGTTAAGAGTTGGTTGAAATTTTCATGAGAATATGAATTTCCATAAGGATTGAATTTCAAAGAGCAGACATCTTATAGGAATTGCTAACCTTGAAATATTTCCCTTGGAATCTTATGGCATGTGGATGCCCTTTCATCTGTACCCATTTTTTTTCAACACAACCTTAAATTACACTGGGCCTAAACCTCTTTACTCACTATTTTTAGGAAGCAGCAATGAGAGTGCCATTTGTATTTTCCCCTGTACAGAGACTTACAAAACTATTCAAATTTTTGATTCAAATTTAAATTAAAACTTAGCTGATTAATTTGCATGTATGGACAGAGGGTCTCAGATCTTCTACAGTGATGTTTATCTGGGAGAGATAATCTAAAGGGAAATGAATATCAGTACTGTGTTACAAATTCTAATTTTCAAAAGAATTTGAGGTAGGAACCAGTCATCTCCAGACCCTGCTTAGCTGACCAGAAGCATAGAATCATAGAGTCATACTGCACTATAAAAGTCTCTTTTCAATTGCCCATAACATTACTACTCTCTTCGATCTCAATATTCATGTTCCTCAGAGGTGGGAGTGGCTTCTGGAAAGCTGCAGTGCAACTGTACCACTGCTCCCTGAATCAGGAATACTTTTTCCCCCTCAATACATTCAGATGATAATGGCCAGCACTAGAATGCTCAAGAACAAAGACTTGGCTTGGGAGACCACTATGTCACACTTGCATGAAGTTGGTTTGGAGACTAGGATGAGGAGCAGAGAGAAAAGAAAACAAAAAGGTTTCATCAGACCTCAGCAAAAAATTTCCTGTCTGCAGAAGATTTCATGTCGTCTTCACTAAGACAACAAGCTATAGGTGCTTGTCAGACCAAGTCCTGTGACAGAGGTTTCTATGGGATCAGCTCTATGAAATGGCATCTTGTGGAAACACATAGATCTTGTTCACAAACAAGTAATTTTTGTATTCAGTTTTTACAGAATACAAACAGCCAGTAACAGCCAAAGTCTTTTAAATCATAAGCATGAACTTTTCTTTTTCCCAATGATTAAGGCCTAAATACCTCAGACTGGAGTCACAAACTTAGCAGAAACTCCTGAACCAACTTCTCTGCACTTTTGTCATACTTCATAAGATGAGGCTGTACCTTCTTCACACTGTAGAGCTGCTGTGAAAACAAAATGTCTTAATTAAGATATTAGCTAAGCATTCCAGAAGGTACCCTTGGGAAAACTCAATATATATCACAAATAAAGTTATATCAAAGTTATCTAATTAAATGAAAGAGGCACTCAACTGCAAGCAGCTACAAAAAGAGCCAGTCTATCCAAAATATCTGTTAAATCATACCCACTGTTAGGCCAAACATTTCTAGATTTCTTCCCTTTCAAGTTTTGCTTCCTGTATTAGCTGCTGATAAAAAACATTTTGCCACTACTTAGCTGGGCAGAGAAAGAGACAAAGCCAAAACCCAAAAAGTTGTTACATGGTTTATTTACTTAAAAAAACATGTTTTTATTGGAATATGAACAAGGCTCAATAACTACATTCTGGGAATTAAAGATTCAAACCCAGTATTCTTAATTGGTATTTTTCCATAGAGACAATCCTTTCAGAGATGCTGCATGGTCTAGTGATGGTCAGAGGAGAAGACTGAGAGCCTTTACGATACTGGGTACTTATCCAAATTCACAGCACTGACTCATAGTCTGGGACAAGTCACTTGACCTCCTATGCCTCAAACAGTCCAGCTGGAAAATACAGAAAGAAAAGCAGCAATCCTGAATGAGAAACAGTTATTATGACTAAGATCAGCTCCTGGATAAATCCAACATCAAATAAAATGTGTTTTCCATATGGAAGCTGCTTTCCTAAAGTGGAATAAAACGTAAATGCCTGTCAATTACAATGATCTGAGAGGCAAGTGGCGAGAAAAGCTCTGCAACAGAGCAACAGGAAAGACTCTGCTAGGAATGAAGGACACTTCTTGAGGTGCAGAGAGAGGGGAGATGGAAAGCAGTCAGGCATCTGGCAGCAGCAAAGGTGAAGCCATGATTTGAGGAGGTCAGAGGCAACAATGTGTCTGAGTCAGAAAAGGTCACTTATTCAATATTCCAGCTGTAAGATGAAAGAATGCAAGTGGAGATTTTTCAGAGCAGAGATCACAGATGCAAGAACATCTAAAAGGTGGACTGTTTGAAAGTGCCAATGACAGATATGATGAATCCATCTTCTCAGGCTAAAAAATTTCTCAGCTCTTGATTTTACCTTTTCCTTCTCCTCTCTTGCTTCTCTAAGCAGCCATCCCTGTTTCCCAGAGTTTCCCTCCCACTTGCATTCAAGCAAGCCTGTTCCAAGCACTTCAAGTCTGTGTGAGGAGATAACCAGCTCCCAAAGTGGAGGTAGAAAATGACATTTCCTGTGTTCTACTCTGCCTGAGCTGTGCTTTCTGTGCATTTTTGTGACAGCCATTCCATTAAAATACAGTGTTACTGAAAAAGCTTATTTTCTATACCAACAGAACAGCTGAGGTAGCTGTGTCATTCCCAATTGGTATTTATATGAGGCTCACGTGAGAAGGAATAAAAGAAAATGCCTGTAAAGCAGATGAATTTTAAGGAATTATACCTTATAGATTAATACCTTATAGAAGCACATGGAATCCAAACTGCAAAAGAAACAAGTACAACATTATTTGACCTTGGAATAGGTACTGATCTCCAGCATGTCCACAAACTTTCAGATTCACCAGCTGAATTTATTTCAGAAGAAACAAAAAACTACCAAAAGTTCAGATGTCCCTGATGTAGGCTGAAAAATTAGTCAGTGAGAGTAAGGGAACTGTGAACCAAGGAAAAGAGATAGACTGAGAGGCAGTCAACTACAGATTGCACAGTGAACTATTCAAAGAAAGAAATTTATTCCCTTGGACTGACATTACAAAGCCAAAACCAATTATGGAAGTGTTGCATGAGCAGCATTCTCCAGCTCAAGCTGGAAACATGCCATCAGAAAGTCCACTACTTCCACAGCTCCTGTGGAAATTGGTAAAGCTTGTTCAAAGCAATAAAACCAAATATGTGCAGAACTTGATTTTAAAGGACTGGCCATATCAGAAACTGCAGCAGTTGATGTCCTGATGTTTCAGCAGCATTGCCATTACAGAGAAGCAGTGAATCCTCTTGAGTTTTTACAGGAGTGGGATAACATCCTTGGGCACAGGACAAAGCCAGCAACAGTTCTGGCATCCCAATGTGAAGACAAACAAACCAGCAAGGAGGCCACTGTACTGTGTGGCCTCGGGCAGGTCCACAGGGTACAGAAATGCACCCTGGAAGTTTCCTACAATAGTAGATTTTCCAAAATACTGTGGTGAAAACTATCAATAGCACAGAGTCTTTTATGGGCTGTGAAGCCAGAACTGACAGTTTCTCACTTCTATCTAGCCAGGAGACTATCTAAGCTAAAAAAAATGCTTTAAGCAGTTATAGTAAAAGCAATTTGAAGAATAGGGGAACAGAGGGTGGCAGCTGAGCAACTGCCTGAGAGGAGACTGAAGGCCTAGGCAACCTATAGTCTTGCCATCGGCAAACAATGCAAAGAATTAGATCTGCTAACCACAACTTGGCCAGGTACCTGAGCTGATGATGATGATGAGGCTATGAAACACATGTTAATGCATGGCTAGCCTGCTGTCAGTGACTCTCCTTTGACAGAAAAAGAGGAAATAAGTTCAAAACAAAAATCTCTCTTGACAGTATCCTTAGCAGGATATCAAAGTATTTGAGAATCCCAGTGCAGACAACAACCAAGACAAAATTCTTGTTGGAATTCTTACAACTCACATTTATTCCCTGATTTTTTCATAATCTACTCCTTTGCCATTCACAAGTATGCTGCTGTGTATTTCACCACTCCTGTTAAGGCAATCAGAGACACAAACACTTGAGCAAGCCATGGAAGCAATATCTCACCGCTCCAGTGGACCAATGGCAAAACTGGAATTCCTGCAGCCACTGTCTCTTTGCCCAAAGTAGCACAACACTTGACCACACTGACTTAGAGTTGAGACTGTGTTTTACCACTTCCCTCTTCCCTTCTGGGAAGGCACCTTATTACCAAATTATTTTCAGACTTCTGAGCAGTCAGAGGATCAGGTTCCTGCACCTTTGATGTGTTTTTTTGTTAACACAGTAAAGACATACACTAGTGCACAAGCCTGATCTCTGTGCTGTCAGTGCCAGTCTCAGCTTTTTATTGTTCAGGCCTCAGTTAAAGTGACTTCACTTCAAACTTCATGTCAGCCCCTAGAAGACCAGTAAATCTAACAATTAACCAAAGTAACAATGCATTAATGAAGTAAAAAGGTAACACAATATTTACTCTTAAAGGACACTATTTGAAAAAGAAGTTCAAAGCCTCTACTGCATTGTATAGATAAGACCAGGAACCACTGAATTAGTAATTGTTCAACCACTCTGGGAAAAAGTGTACAAATTTTCCACCACTGTCATCCAAAAATATTTTAAATGTTTTTATGTCAAGTCTAAACAGAATGTTTCTGAAATCACCTTAATGGTTTTTCAATATTACTTAGCTTGCAAGCAGAGCCAAAAGGATAAAATACCACTGAAAATCCTCTTTCCCAAATATGTGCATAAGGACCAGTAAGAGGTTAGTATCTGAAATCAATTTTTTAGTTCAGGTTTTCAAGTCAACATTTGAAGTCTCAAGAAGCTTGAGAAAAACTGACACCATTTTAGGTGCTTAAATCAACAAACTCCCGAATTTCAGCATTCTCAAAGTAGGCAATGTGCTTTCTTTCTGTGCTCATCATAAGTAAATAAAATAAAGTTATTGATACAATTATAATTAATAGCAAATCTTAGTAAATGTCATAGTTGTTGAAACAAACAACAAATTATAATTAACTAGAAAACCTAGTAATTCAAGCTTTAATGAGCAATACAATTCTTATGTCCATCTTTCTCCCATCCTGGACTTACTTCCAGTCACTAAATAATCTGATCACTCCCATTAAGAGTAGTCTGAATAGAAAAATGTATTGCATTTGTCACCATTATTATTCTACTTCAGTCAAAACAATATGAGATGAATGCAGTCTAATTTATGAATGCTGCTAGAGGAGTCTGACCTTTTTCACATAGTTTTAGTAATTAATCTCAGTGACTATCTGTTTTTTGCTATTCATACCCACACAGAACTGAGATGACCTGGTGAAGAAACATGTAACAAAAAAGTGAGTTGCAGTTTTCATTTTTTTTTTAGGATTTCAATTTTCTCAGTCTGACTCTAAAATACATTAAATGCATGCATAGCAATTACTAAACATTTAAGAGAAGTGATGATGACAACAGGAGCCCTATTTAGTTTTCACCTGTCAGAACCCACCAGAATGAATTAGATCCTGAACATCTATTTGTGCAAGAGATATCTAGAAGTAACTAAGTATTGTTCTATTATCTCACTAAAGTTGAATAAAAGAAACAATACAATGAAAAGTAGGGTATTGCATTAACATTATTAGTGTTGCAGCCTGGTTTTAGTAGAATATTTTTCAGTAAAGCTCATGTTCCCAAATGGAAAAAGAAAACTGTTTACAGTCACTGGCCATGTTCAGAATAGAAGAAAAGTAACCTATCCTTCCTAGCTGTTCAACTTCCCCAACAACTGCAATCAGTGAAGGGCCACCTCATCTTTCATTGACTCTCCCTTCAGTTGGAAACTCACACAGGACTCTGGTCTAAACTGCACCTTGCAAAAACAAACCAACCAACCAAGTAACAACTACCACCACCCCTGCAATTCTCTTCAGTTTACAAGTTATACAGCAGTTTAGGAAGGCTGTGCATGTGTTGTACCTCCTCTGCAGAGAGCTCTCAGAGAAATGACAGAATGCTCAGTCAGCTTAAAGCCATCTCTGAAGCCAGTCTGTGTCACAGTTTCTGAGGTGCCTTGCTGACCATGTTACAGAGGGCTGCCCAGATGTGATGAAGTGATTCCCCTACTACCAACTACTACCTACTACCCTACTCCAGAAATGCTGGAAGACAGGGCAGGAGAGCTCTCAAAAGACAGTCTTCCTCACCTAGATCTAAAATCCTAAAAGCTTGTTGTACTGCTCAGTGATTTTTACCCAGCAT